GCCAGCCCTGCTTGCTTAGAGATTACTCAAGGATAGCTCTGGATTGTGTGACTTCAAAAGAGGCTTCAGGGGTGGCTTTGGTGAGATGAGAGCCAAGCTCATCACTCCAGCAGCTCCTCCCTACTAAGGGTCCTTCCCATACCCAATTGGAAGTTACCTGTGGTTTCTACTGGCCTATATTTACCTTTCACTGGCGCATCCCCTGCTCTGCCTTCCTTTTTTAAAACATTGAAACACAATCTGCTTCATACTGTAAAAGCTCAGGGATTATGTCCTTAGCCCATAATGGAATACTAGGCCCTGCAGGGATCTATTGGGGGGGTTTGTATGTCTATATGTATCTAGTTCTTGCTTTCCCTCCCCACCTCCATCTCTGGCATCCCCCTGGGGGATTCCTGAAGCAGAAATGACATTGGTGGGATCATTTGAGCTGAAATATCTCTGCTTCCAGAGAGTTCTTGCTGCTCAGCACCCTAATCCACTCTAGTGTCTCTCCAGAGTTGTCTCACTGTCCCTCTACTTGGTGTCCCCCCAGTCCCCATTCATTCATTCCACAGCTGGACTCAAGTGTTTCCTGGGCTTTGCATATCCTCTGCTACAGTCCCTCTGGTCCTGCGTGTCTCCCATGCCAGGCCATGAGCAGCACCTTGCCCAATCCAGTAACCCTGTGCCTGCTCTTCCTAGCTGGTGAGCCTCAAGCCTAGGAGCTCAGGAATGTTCTCTTTATTCTCCAACCAAGGACCCCAGCCCTGGTGTGTTGCTAGACACTGCAGTTCCTCCCTCCCTAGCTCCTGGCCCCTTCCTTTACTCAGCCTCCCTTGAGCCACAGGGAGATCTTATTGCTTTGTTGTGGCATGGGTTTAGGAGGGTGTGTGTGTGTGTGTGTGTGTGTGTGTGTGTGTGTGTGTTCTTACATGTCTCAGGCTGGCCTTGAACTCACTTCCATCTTCTGGGTGCTAAGAACCCAGGTGTGCACCCCAGGCCTGGTCCACAGAGCACTTTTAGAATGGTCTGTCGATGGCCCTCCAAGTTTCTTGAGACAGGGTTTCTCTGTGTAACAGCCCTGGCAGTCCTGCAACTCACTCTGTAGACCAGGCTGGCCTTGAACTCATAGAGATCCAAGAACTGTTTCTTATGGTTGCCCTCTGACCCTCACATGCATGGTAGCACATGAGCACTCATACCCATGTAAATAAATAAACAAACAAAAAAACAATTCTCTGTTCTTTCTGGGCCATGGCTTACTCCTATACCAAATGGAATGAACTTCATTCAGCCTTTTTTGAGGATCAGGGGTCTGGGCTGGGTCAGGGGTTCTCTGCCAATGCCTGAAGGAAATTGAGTGATAGGGCAATTCTGGTTTTAGGTCATAGCAGGGCCTTGAGGGAGTTATTAGGTCATAGGTCTTTTCTTACCCCTAATGCAGTTTCTAAACTGCTTCAGTGACAATCGTTCCAGGCAAGGATCTCTGAGGACTATGAAACCTGGGAAGAAGTCACTGGGGATTGAGACTTTCACACGGATTCAAAATAAAGGTTCATCTTACCCTGGAAAGATCTGGTGAGTGCCAGGTACCATGAACGGTGGAGAAAGCTGACACTGCACAGTTCCCGATTTTATCTGCCACCAGATAAAAGGAGGCAGAAAGAGACCTGCCAAGTAAGCGCAGCAGGCTTCCTGAAAGCAGAACTGGCAGGAGAAGCATGAGCAACTGACACTGGGTACAGCAGCAGGTTTGCAATTCCTTATATTCTGGAGGAGTGCTGCACGGGCAAGGCCAGCTTGGGCTACAAGTGAGTTCCAGGCTAGTTGGGGCTATTTAGTGAGAGACCCTGTCTCAAAAAGAAAAAAAAAGTAATAAAAAATTGTAAAAAATAAACCCAAACCACCAAAGAACTGTAACAGGGATACTGGTGGTCATCCAGGGGATGAATTAAAAGTCTAGGATAGACAGAAGACCAATCTGCATAGAAAGAGAAAAAGCCATGGTGGTGGTGCACTCAGTTAATTACAGCACTTGGGAAGCAGAGGCAGGTGGATCTCTGAGTTCAAGGCCAGTCTGGTCTACTGAGTGAATTCCATGGCAGGCTCCAAAGCTACAAAGAGAAACCGTGTCTTCTCGAAAAACCAAACCTCAACAGAACAAAATACAGTTCCTCGTGTGTGACCCCAATCATAAAATTATTTTTGTTGCTACTTCATAATTGTAATTTTGCTACTGTTATGAATCCATAATGTAAATGTCTGTGCTTTCTGATGGTCATTAGGGGTTGAGATGCACAGGTTGAGAACCACTGCCCTAGACCTAGAGTTAAGGCGGTTGGAAGTACTGGTAACTGAACTCTACTCCTCTGGAAGAGTGGCCTGTGCTCTTAACTTCTGAGTCATATCTCCAACCTGTGACTCTTCCTCTCTGCAGTCCTGTGGCCACAGTGACTTTCCTGACCACATGTCTCTTCCCTCCCCCAAGCTGACAAGACCTGTCCAGATTTTTGCATCAACTTCCACTGTTCTCCACTTTGATATCAGCTCTGTTGCCTCAGGTCATGAGTCAACATGGCCTTTAGGTCACACAGCTAGTCAGGGTGCTGTGCTAGTATGATGTGATATCCAGTTCCCTTTCCAGCTTCCATAGAAATATCAGGAGAGGTGCCAGGCAGTGGTGGCGCATGCCTTTGATCCCAGCACTTGCGAGGCAAAGAAATGTGGATCTCTGTGGGTTGGAGGCCAGCCTGGTCTACAAAGAAAGTTCCAGGACAGGCAGAGCTGTTACATAGAGAAACCTGTCTCCAAACACCTTTCCACTAGAAAAAAAGAAAAAATATTGCCAGTGGGTTGAAGTATGAGTGCAGACAGGTTCTGAAATAACTGTTACATAGAGAAACCTGTCTCGAAACACCTTTCCACTAGAAAAAAAGAAAAATATTGCCAGTGGGTTGAAGTATGAGTGCAGACAGGTTCTGAAATAGCAGAGAGAGATGCCTCAGTAAGGGAAGTTGACTGTGACTTGTGACCCATGTTACCCTCAGGAAGAGAAACAACTATGAAGAAGTTCAGCCAGATAGAAGAGATGGACAGTCAATAATGACCCTAAGGAAGGCAACAGTGAGGACTGGGGAGATGGCACAAAGGATAAGAAGGAACAGTGCTTGCTATGCTGTGAGGACCACAGTTCTAGTCTCCAGTACACACTAGTCTCCAGGACACACTTCCCAGTCTACTTACTTTGAGGAGTAAGAAGAGCCCCCCCACATGTACACTCTTGTCCCCTTTGTGACAAGGTCTTACTCTAGAACAGACTGCCTTGGGTTTGTGATACTCATAAGTGCTGAGATTAAAAGGAGAACATACTTAACTGACGTCCGATCTGCCCTCATAGTCCAGGGTAGTAGCTGACCCTCCCATGTTTGTTTCTTTGAGGCAGGGTCTCATGAAGCATAGGCTAACCTCGATTCCGTGTGTAACCAAGGATAACCTTGAATCCCTTATCCTCCTGCCTCCCCCATCCAAATTCTGGAATTGCAGATCTGCCAGCCATAGTTCGATCTTTATTTATTCGTTTTATTATTTGCGACAGGGTTTCTGTGGTGGGTTGGATAAGAAGTGCCCCTTATAAGCCCGGGCATTTGAACACTTGGTCCCAATTTGTGTTGCTGTCCAGGGAGGGTTAGGAGATGTGGTCTTGCTGGAGGAAGTTCTGTCACACTGGGGGTGGGACCTGAGAGCTTATAAGACTGGCCCTACTTCCAGTTGTCTCTCTTGGTTATCTTTAAGGTCCAGAAGTTCTCTCTCAGCATCTGACTCCTCCGGCCATGCTTGCCTGCTGCTTGTGGCCATGCCTCCCCACCGTAATGGAGTCTTACCCCTCTGGAACTGTAAGCTAAAATAAACTCCTAAAGTTGCCTTTGGTCATGGTGTTTTATCACAGCAACAAAAAAGTAACTAATAAAGTCTTACTGTGTAGCCTGGAACTCACACGGATCCACCTGCCTCTTCTGGTATTGAATACATGGGTAGCCACGGCAAGCCCTCGTTCCCTATTTTATGCAGCAAGTCCCCTTCTCACTCCTGCCCTCTGAACTCTTATGCTCATCTGGGTCTCATATCACTGAGGGTCTCATATCACCTGTCTCAACTCAGCCCTCTGAACTCATATGCTCATCTGGGTCTCATATCACTGAGGGTCTCATATCACCTGTCTCAGCCTCTCCCACCTCCTGCCTCTCCCCACTTTATTCTCACCTCCAGGCTCTGCAGGTTCTGGATGCTTTCAAAGTGGTCTATCCTTCTCTATCTGGCCAGTACCACGCTGAAGAGTATTCCGAAATATCAGGGACGCATTCACTTCTCCACTATTGATCATTTATAGACTCTGTTCTGGGTTCCAGGCACACAGGGGGGCTGACTGCAGAGTCCTGATCTGGGGAAGCCCACAGTCCAGCACGATGGGTATGAGGACGCAGAGCATCGTGAATGAACAGGTGGGATAACTTAAGCGCTACAAAGACCACTCTACAGCATCGGGGTTCCTCCAGGGAGCGTAGGGTCAGAGGCGGCCTGCTTGAAGAGGTAACACCTGAACTTTAATCCGGACCTCAGTACAAATTGGGGAATTTGTTCAGGAGAGAGCAACCAGTTCAAAGGCTTGAAGTGGGGCAGGGGGCAGGGGCAGGGTTGTGGCCTGAACTCGGTGGCCAGCAGTGTTGGCAACACACCCTGGAGCGCGGATTTGAGACCCGGCCAGCACAGCTAGCTTCTGCAGGCCTCCAGGACCGAAGGTTCAGGATTTGAGAGCCTATCATGGGGGCGCCATCTTGTTCTCTTCAGCGGGACAAAACAGGTCCAGAGGCGACAAGTTACCGCCCGATGCCACACAGCCGCGCCACAGCAGGGGTCCCGCCGAGCCCCTTCCGTGCAGTGCTGTCAGCCACTCAGAACGCACTCCTATGTTCTCAGGACGGAAGTGGTGGGCGGGGAAACTGGTGGCTCCGCCCCGACCCGCCCACCATGGCGCTCCTGACTGGCTCCGCACAGCCGCCCCGCCTCCGAGGTGTTGCGGCTGGGGTGGGTCATTGGGGGAGCGGCCGGCCGAGTAGCGGGTGTAGAACCACGCAGCGACTGCCTTCTCCACCACCATGGGGTCCCAGCTGAGCACGGTAGGTGGTAGGGGTCTGGGGTCACCAGGCGCGCACCGTGGGGACACGAAACGATCCGGGACACCCAGCATCCGTTCAGGCACACTGCGCCCCACCCGGCCCCTTGCTTACCGTGACTCACACCCTGGCTAGTGGCCGCGCCCTGCCGGCCCTGCCCCAGGCCAGAGAGTGCGGGGCGGACCTTGGGGGACCCTCCTGGGTGTGCACGACCGTGACAGGGAACGAGTGACGTGTGTGACCGCGTGAATGGACGTGACTTGTGAGAGCGAGAAAGTTGGAGCGACTGAGAATGTGAAATGCGTGTCTGTACGAGTGTACAGGTGAGGGTTTTGTGAACGTGCACTGTGACTGTAAGTGCACAGGTGTGTTCGTGGAGGAACCAATAGGTACGGTGTGTGTGTGTGTGTGTGTGTGTGTGTGTGTGTGTGTGTAGAAAATGAAGGTGTGAGTGTAAAGACACGCATGTGTGAATAGTGGACACGTGTGAGCTGGCATGGGCCAGAGTACTTTGGGGTGCATGTGTGCATGGGTGAAGTGTGTAGGATATCTCTAGATCAGGGATTGGGTGCATCTTCCTGCCATAAACAAGGCCATGATCTTTCATGCTGTCTGTCACTTTCTGCTGTCACACGCAGGCAGGCCTTGGCTATTCCTGTTACTCACATAGCTCTGCTGTCAATGAAGTATCACTTAGACTTGGCCACCTGTCACACAACTATGCTGTCACTAAAGTGTCATTAGACTTGGCCACTTAGGATGCTGGGTCCTTCTAATATTTATAAATCTGCCCTCTTGCTGCAACTCTGGGGGCCTCCTTGGCAACTCTGGAGACCACCTCCTCTCCCTTGTTTGTTTTTCTTTCCTTTTTTTTTGGATTTATTCATTTATTATGTATACATTGTTTTGCCTGCATGGCCAGAAGAGGGCACCAGATCTCATTACAGGGTCATGAGCCATTATGTGGTTGCTGGGAATTGAACTCAGGACCTTTGGAAAAGCAGGCAGTGCTCTTAATCAATGAGCCATCTCTCCAGACCCCCCTACCTCCCTGATTTCTTAAGAGTGTCCATATAAAGTGTGCCCAGCCCCAACTGCATAAACACATCCTGGCCTTGAGGTGCCCAGCTCTTTGGATGTGGGAAAGTTAGGCCAGCACCTATCTTGGAGGGTGTTCTCTCTTTGAGATCCAAGACTTTTGGTGAAGACAGGCAACTGTCTTCTTGGCCTGGCATTTGCTCTTGAGAGAGTGGCCAATTCAGGATGGTCCATTCAAGGAGCAGCCTGGCCCAAGGCAAGCCTGTGGCATCACTCCAAAGTGACATCACCCCACAATGACATTCTGACCAGTTTCCCCAAAGACTGCCCTTGGTCCCCTTGCTCTCCCCTGCTTTCCAGGCTCTCTTTACCTTCTGGACCATTTTTGGGGGGTTTAATCACAGCACCCCAGCACCTGGCTGTTGTATCCATTCATGTTAAGTCAACAGTAGTTCCTTGCAGACAGCAGATCTCTGTCTAATTATCAGAAAACCACCCCAACCTGGCCTCATTTGTCCAAGGGTTGCTTGCTATTGTCCTTGACTTATGGGACCAACTGGGGTCCCACTTAGTCCCCAGTGCCCACAGTATACACAATCCAGCCTCTTGTCCTGGAGGCCATGTGCTCTGTGGGTGGCTGCTGGGCATTGGGTGTACCAGATGTCTTATCTGGGCCATGCAGGCCCTGTGGGAGGCCTCCTGCATATATTGGGGGCTCCATCCCAGAGGATGGCACTCAAGGCAGCTCTCCAAGTGGAAAACATTGCATGCTTAGCCTGCTGATCTGGACTGCCTCTCTGCCTGTCCGTGAGTTCCAGCAAGCCCTGACAGACCTATTACTCTTGTAGATGAGGCCTTCCCACTGGCTCAGCAACCCTGAGCCTGGTTGGTAGTTTAGAATCAACAGAGGGTGGCTCAATTATCCACATGTTCCTTCTCCTGGGCTCCCTTCCCCCATAATCTGGAGTCCAGCCCAAAGCCCCCCTGCTTCTGGACTTCCTCTATTTCTTCCTACTTCCTCCCACTTAGAACAAGACCAGGAGGGCTGGTCACTTGATCTGGCAGGACAGCTGACGAGTGGGTGGTGGGCAGGTAAGTGAGTTGATGACTGGTTTATTGAAGCCCCAAGTTAGGGAGCTGGCACCTGGAGGGAGACCGGGACTGGGCTCTTTGCCCACTCTCTTGATTCAACCTGGACAGACTGGATTCCAGGGTCCTAGAGGGAAAAATGCCAGAGAGCAGCCAGGCAGGGTGTCCTTTGGGTGGAGAGCAGGCTGTGCACCTGTTAGCTATGATGGTAAGTGAGTTCAGGGCTCCCTCCTGGGTCCTGGCACCCAGTTTCCTTTATCCTTCTTTTCTTTCAGAGCAAGGAGAAGAAGGGGCTGGTTTCTTAGTACATGGTATGACCCGAGGGTCAAGGTCTGGGAAGCAGCTGCCCCCATGGACTTGTAACTAGTTGGAGTACGATGGTGTGTGTGTGTGTGTGTGTGTGTGTGTGTGTGTGTTCATACAGCTGGGAGGAACTGGGGCAGTGACTTGGCCTCAGCCAACTGCCTCCTGTTTACTTGGCCACTGCTGCTGGGACAAGGGTGGTGCCATGGAGGGATGGGGACACCTGTTTACTCTATGCCAGTGAGGATACAATACACCCAGCCTTCTGGTGAGTGAGTCTGGTTGAGCTTCTGACTTTAGAGATCAAGCATTCACTCTACTGCTCCTGGCCTTGGTTCAGCTCTCCTGTGACTGGGTCTGTCTCCCCTTCTAGTTTGAGCTCCTTGAGCATGGGGTTTAGGCCTGGACCGCACACATACACAGGAGTGCCTGCTGAAGCTGTTGGCTGAATGAATAGCAGCTAGGATGGCTTGTCACAGCTACCTTTCTAGATAGGAATTTTTTTGTTGTTTTTGTTTTTTGTTTTTGTTTTTGTTTTTCAAGACAGGGTTTCTCTGTGTAGTTTTGGAGCCTATCCTGGCACTTGCTCTGCAGACCAGGCTGGTCTCGAACTCACAGAGATCCGACTGCCTCTGCCTCCCAAGTGCTGGGATTAAAGGCATGTGACACCAATGCCCGACAGGAATTTTTATATTAGAAAAGGTTTACCTCTCACTTCTCAGTGTCCAGAAGTAACCCTGGACTCAGGCTTGTCACTGAAGCACCTGTTTTCTTACCTGAGTTGGGAGTGATGATAGCACCTCCCAGATGCAGCCTGAGGGTTGAGGTAAGAGGGCAGTGCCTGTTGGGAACAGCCAGGAGACTGGTCCTGGCTCCTGAAACCCGTACCTTCTGAGCATGCTCCAGGGCTAGGGGCAGATGGTCTGGCTCCCTCCATAGCCTGTGCTAAGCCTAAGGTCTGTAAGGGAAATAGAATAGACTGAACCCTTCTCTCATTAGGGAGCAGTCTTGGCTTTTGTCCTGGTTCTGGAACTTTCTAGACAACACAAGAAGCCAGAGAAACCTGAAGGATCAGGAGAGAAGGATGTTGTTGTCCTTTCGGTAATTGCACAGATATTTGCTGAGTGCCTCCTGCACCAAGTGCTGGGATAGTGGTGACCAAGCAACCCTAAGTTACCTGGAGACAGGAGAGGTGGACCATTCTGAACCCAAGGCTGGTGGAGGGACTGTGTGGGGACCCTAGCTTATGTTCAGGGACCTACCCAGAGTCCTGACACAGGAGTGTCTACAAAGACACTGCCCTCAAAACTGTCCAGCATTGGTGGGTTTAGGATGAGTGAGGATTGTTGGTTGGCCCACACATGGAACCAAATCTGAACTCCATGTTGGACCTCTGTGAGCCTCCTTTGTTAAATGGGGATGTGGCAACAGCTGCACTTCTGTGTTAGTCACTTTCCCATTGTTGTGATAAAGCATCATGACCAGGCAACTTAAGGAAGAGTTTGTTTTGGCTCATGGTTTCAGAGAGCTAGAGTCCATCATGGCAGGGAAGGCACGGCAGCAGACAGGAAGCTGGGGAATCACATCTCAACCACACACAGGAAGCAGAGATCACTTGTCTGTCCCCAGTGATGTACTTCCTCCAAAGGCTATACCTCCTAAAGGTTCTAGGATGTCACTAAACAGCACCATGAACTGGGAAGCAAATGTTTGAATCCATGAGCCTATGGGGGACATTCCCCATTCATGCTACAACAGGAGCCCACGGTAGAGGGTCAGGAACAATCCAGGTGTGTGGCAGCTCTGGGAGGCCAGCTGCAGGCCAAGGGAACTCCAGCTGGCGAACCTGACTGTGTACTCAGAACCCTGCTGGGGGAGATAAAACGGGGCACACCAAGCATAGGTCAGATGGGTGGAGTCATTGGTACAGGGCTCTCAACAGTGGTGGTTTCTGGATATAGTTTTGCTATATGCCATGGAACCATCTAGCAGAAAAAAATCTCCAGAATAATCCCCATCCCCAGAGAGCTTACAGAGAAGTTGAGGCTATGAAAAGTCACCAAGGGCCTGGTTAGTACGCGTGGCTCCTCAGGAAAGACTTAATATTTGAGTTGGATTCTGAAAGATTCATAAGAGAAGCTAGTTAGATGCATCTAGAGGCAGGCACTGGGGGCAAGAAAGGTGTGTCAAGGATGGAGCGAGGTAAGTTGTGGAGGGAGCAGGGAGGGGAGGCCCGTGTTGGAGCCACAGAACAGGTGCATTGAAGGTTGGTGGTTAGGAGCACCAGTGAGTGTTGGTGGGAGTGGAGCAGCATGCTGGATGGGGAAGCTGGGGTTGGAAATATGCTTGGGCCTTCTATAGGGGCATGGTATCTGGGTCTGGGCTGTGGACTGTGTTGTGGGCACAGTAGGGCCTGTCCCCAGAGGTGGCTCAGGAATAGCAAGATGGAACTGAAAAGCCCTGAAGTCAAATTGCAGTCTCATTCTTATTTGGTTTTGTCCCCATGGTCAGCTACTTATTACCCTGAGAAAGCTGACAGATGGTGTCATGAGTATGCTTGTTGGTGTGACTAGTGTCAGGGCGATTCCCTCAAGCCTATTTCCCCTCTGTGGCTTGGAGCAGCCACTAAACTTGCAGTCAAGGGCTAAAGTGTGGTGGTCCCAGGGATCCATGGCCTTGTCCTTGAAGCAGTGTCAGTTCAGGTTTCATGGCTGGTGTTTACTCTGTGCATGGCCTTTGGAAGCCTCATTCACTTTCTTCAGAGTCCCAAGACTTAGGGGACCCTTTCTGAGTTTTGGGCTTCTTTTAGCTTACATCCATGGTGCCATCTTGGTTCTTCAATGAGCCTTGGGACAGATAAGGTGCTTGCATGATGCTGGGCACAGTAGTGTTCATTAAATGGGTATGGTCCAGCAATGGGCCCTTTTTAGACCCTGTGGGTCACATACCAGGGGCCTATGGGGTGAGGCTTTGGCTAGGAGAGAGGCAGTTTGTTTTGGGCCCAACAAAGGGCCCTTGGCTGCTTGGGATGCTGGAACCTGCAGGGCCAGTTTGGGGGTGAGGAGTGTGTCAGGTTTACTATTCCTCTCCTTCTCAGGTTGCACATCTCCCTGAGAATCAGGGGGCCCCTAGCTTAGCTCATGCTCCTTGGGAGTAATGCCATTCTGCAGATGGAACAAGAGGCTTAGGCAGAGTGCCCTTCTAAGCTGCTGGAGGGTGGGGAGTCCTGGCAGGGCTTTGAGAGAGAGGGACAGTGAGGCTGGGCTCTAAGAGCAAGAGTATCCTCTAGGGGGTACAACAGGGCCAACCAAATGGCTCAGTGGGTGAAAGCACTTCTCCTGTGATCCAAATTCTGGATAGAAATAATCAGAGAGGAAAGAGTGTTTGGCTTGTAATTTCAGTATGTCATGGTGGGGAGGTTATTGCTGTAGAAGTAGGAGCCTGTGGTTGAGGCTGTTCACATCCCTGCTAAGCAGGAAGTGCTGAGAAAGGGCCAGGGCCAGATCCAATGACTCACTTCTTTTAGCTAAGCCCAACTTTCCAAAACAGCTGCCCAGGGCTAATCAACCAGTGAGGAGCAGTGCCCAGCCCATTGCTGAAGGCAGAGCACACCCAGGGAGAGACTCAACTTCTCCAACCTCACTAGCTTGTTTCCTTGGCTCTGAGGGGAAGTGAGGAGAAAATGTAGAGTCAGTGACCTCTAGGAAACTGGTTCATAGATGCTTGGAGGCCTGTGGTCTGTGTAGGACTCTGTTGGATTCTGAGTGGGGCTGAGAACTGGAACTTGGGCCTGGGATTTGACTCAGTCAGTAGAGTACTTGCCCAGTATGCAGGATACATATGCCTGTAATCTCCACAGTTGGTCAGAAGTTCATGATTTTTCAAAACTTTGCTTGTGGCACTGGGCAGATGACTGAGTGATGCGGCAGGTGTTGTGAGTCTGGTTTTTTTCTAGTGGACTGTCAAATGGAGTTCCCTGGACAAGGCTGGCAGAGAACGGTCACAGGAGGAAAGGCTTGGGGATGCTGGTAAAGTGTCACCTGTAAGGGAGTGGCAGGGCTTCTTCCTGCCCCTGTGTTGACTTTGGGCCCACTCTGTCCCTGCAGTTGAGCCGCGTGGTGCTCTCTCCCGTCTGGTTCTTCTATAGCCTCTTCATGAAGCTGTTTCAGCGTTCTTCACCGGCCATCACCCTCGAGAACCCTGACATCAAGTACCCACTGCGGCTCATCGACAAGGAGGTGACTGCCCCACCCCATGCCCCAGCATCCCTGTGGCTCCTGGGTACCTGACCTCCCCTCTGTCATCTGCCCATTTTACAGATGGAGTGACACAGGGATGTCTCTTCCTGAGGCCATGGAGAAGTGGCAGAGGGATTCAGACCCTGCTCTCTGTTGTGTGAATTCCTTTCCTGGGGAGTTAGAAACAAATACCTGTTCTCTCCAGATAGGGCACAATGAAAAACCAAAGTACCAGTCCACCAAAAGTCACACTGGGGGACCAATGAATTTATTGGTCTCATTTACAAAGCATGGGTGACTGTGGGTGACCCCAAAGCAGCCTTACCCCGACATGGATGATGGATTTCCTCACATGGTTTAGGTGGCGGGCACCCTTGAGTCAACCCTGTGTAATATAGCACCTCCAGGAGGCCCCTAGCCCGGGTCAGTTAAGGCTGAGGCAGCTGACCAGAGGTGCAGAAGGGAGTGGCCGTAATCTCAGGTGAGGGTTCACCAACCCTCCTCAGCTTATCCTTCTATGAGGGAAAGTCAACCACAGGCCTCATCTGGGGGTGGGATGTCTCTTGTGAGTAGTCACAGCTGCTCTGAAGAAGATAACAACTGTTATATGGGGGGTGGGTAATGTAACACCCTATGACTGTCTCCCACCATGGTCACTGTCCATGGAATATCAGAGTGGGAGAGGCCCTTTGGGATTTTTGGGTACACACCCCTACCTAGTCTGGGGAGCAGGGTGAGAGGCCGAGCACCCTGCCCCTTGGAGATAAGAGCTTACCCTTCCCCTGCTCATGTGGTAGATACAGTCTGGTCTTCTTAGCCTGGATGTCTTCCTCTTGCTGCCTCTGTGAACTATGTCTGCACCAGGCCAGGGATCTGGTCAGGACCTAGGCTGAGCTTCTCTGCTCCTGCTCAGCTGCCTTCCGTTTTCCTCAAGGCCCTCCCTGCTCTATTCCTGGCTTCCCCTATTTGCTTCCAGAGGGGTGTGGCAGGAAAACTGAGTCAGGGAACAGAGAGTCAAAGAGAGCCTAGAGGAGTGAAGGAGCCTTGGCTTCAGGGCCTGGGCCCAAGTCTCCCTCAGGATGTATGACCATGGGATTGACCATCTTAGTGGGGAGCTGGTGGGACTCATGTATGTAAGTCTATAATGTTCTCAGAGTTGAAGAGGAGACAGAAGGGAAAAATTCAAAAGAGACCTCTGTGGCCTCTCAGTAAGTCTTACACATATGTAGACACTCTCATACTATTTTTCTTACCAAAATGGAGATCTCATGTTTTTGTTTGTTTTTAAGATGAGGTCTCACTACAGTAAGCAAGGCTGGCCTGGAACTCACAGAAATGCCCCTGCCCCTGCCTCCTGAATGCTAGGACTAAAGGCATGCACTGCCTGAGTGCCACCAGACTCAGCATCGTTTTTTTGTTTTGTTTTGTTTTGTTTTGAGTTTTTCAAGACAGGGTTTCTCTGTGTAACCACCCTGGCTGACCTGGAACTCACTTTGTAAGACCAGGCTGGCCTTGAACTCAGAGATCCGCCTGCCTCTGCATCCCAAGTGCTGGGATTAAAGGTGTGTGCCACCATCACCTGGCCAGCATCATGTTTTTAATAATGTATTTATTTTTATTTTATGTGCACATTTTATGTGTTTTACCTACATCTTCATCTACAAGGGCGTTGGATCCTCTGGAACTGGAGTTACAGACAGCTGTGAGCTACCATGTGGGTGCTGGGAAGTGAACATGAGTCCTCTGCTGGAGCAGTCAGTGGTCCCAGTCACTAAGCCATCTCTCCAGCCCCCAGCATCATGCATTTAATTAAACCCTGTTGTTTGTCAGGTTTTTGGTTTTTGTTGTGTTACTGAACATGGAACCCAGGGCCTTGAGCAAGGTGCTCAGGGCTCTGTCCTTCACCTCAGCCCTCTTAACCTGTTTTTGTTTTTAATTTTTGACTCCCCTCTCTGTGCTGCATTTTAATTCTTCAAGTGTGACATGATTTGTGTGTCACTGTAAAAGTTCTGCTTATGTGGTGGGGCTTCCCCTCCCCACCCATGGCTGGCCTAGTAGGCTATTCTGGGAACCTGAAGCCTGCTGTCATTTTACCCACACAATGCAGATAGGTTTTCATGAACTCAAAGCTGCCTTGCTTTCCAAGACTGTCTAGTGTCTTTTATGAGGACACGAGGCCACACAGTGGGGACCCTCCTGTCCCCATTGAGGTGATCACATGGCATTTCTGGAGTTCAGCTTCTTCCCCTCCCCCTCCACAGCCTAGTGCTGCCCTTCCCTGTCAGCAGGTGGACCTGCTTTGTGGTCCTGCCAAGCTGCCCTGTGTCTTAGTAGTTATCGGTACTTCCTCCAAAAACCCCCCAAAGGGTGGTGTCTGTCCTTGGCCCTTAGGCCCAGTCAGTAGTGCTGGACTCTGCCCCTAGTCAGCTGGAGTCTGCATTTGGCCTAGTCCAAAGGTTCTGGGAGGGGGGATGGCCCACGGCTTTGCCCTGTGTGGTGCCCAGTTGGACTTCTCCAGTGTTTCCTCTGCTCAAATGTGCAGGATGGGGTTTCCCCCACACAACACCCTCCTTGTGCTGACTTCCTCCTGAGTGGCATGGCCTTCTTTCTCTGTCTGACCTAAGATGGGGAAGCCTGCATTTCACCTCCAGGAGTTAATGCTGTGGCCATCTGAGGATGCTTCCCCCATGTGGGTGTGGTCCTGCAGCTGCTGGCTGTTTCTCGAATCCACAGTCAGCTCTGGCCAGAACTCACTGGCAGACTTCTTGATCCTCCTATAGGGGGGGTCTCAGAAGGTTGTTTCTCAGTCCTTTCCTTAGGCTTAGCCCCTGACCATTCCTGGAGGGGAAATGGCCGCCACAATCCAGCTGTTGACTATGCCTTAGTGCCCAGCATGTAGAGGGTAGAGGCCTGACTTTGGGCTCTTGACTGTGGCCAACCCCAGCACCTCCCAGGCAGTGGAGGCTGCTATAGCACCTGGCCCTATATAGCTCAGCCTCAGCCACAGCCACTCAATTCCTGTGGGCTCTTGGCTGAAGTGACTTCTATCTAGAACCTTCTCCTGCCAGGCTTGGCACATATGGCTCTGTCTCAGCTCTGCTCCTTTTCTAGTCTGGCCATAAGTTGTTACTATTACCTTAGGCTCCAGCTGAGAGTAGAGGGTGATCCTTCCCACCACCAAGTGAAATTTTCTGGATTGTCTGGTATCCTTCCTTTGGGACTGTGTGTTCATTCTTGCTTTGACCACCCTGCTGTGTGGCCCTCTGTGCAAGAGCAGAGGCCCACCAAACATGTGCCTGACCCTCCCCCGTGTGTGTGTGTGTGTGTGTGTGTGTGTGTGTGTGTGTGTGTTGGTGACATCACTGTCACTGCAGAGGGCTTTGGGGGGCTCTGAGATACAGCAGCTCTGCCTCTTTGCAGATTATCAGTCATGACACACGGCGCTTCCGATTCGCCCTGCCTTCACCCCAGCACATCTTGGGCCTTCCCATTGGTGAGTCTGTCCAACCCAGCCCCTCTCCTCCGGGGAGTCCAGGGGGAGGAGGGGCAGCACACCTAGCCTTGCAGAGTGGGTCAATGTCCCCGACAGTGGCACCAGCATAGGTATAGAGACCAGTGCTGAGATGTGCTGGGAATATCTTGTGAGGTGGGAGGGAGCAGTGGGAACCAAGGCCAGGTCAGAGTTTAAATGTGAGATAGGTGTAGGTCCATGGGAAGATAAGCTTCTGGGGAGATAGTGCCTGACCCCTAATGACCCCTCCCTGTCTTACAGGCCAGCACATCTACCTCTCAAGTAGGATTGATGGGAACTTGGTCATTCGGCCCTACACCCCCGTCTCTAGCGATGATGACAAGGGCTTCGTGGACTTGGTGGTCAAGGTGGGATCCCCAGGGCATGTCTGCAGGTGACAGGGTGGGGTGTGGAAACCTGCTTCCTACTTAGGTAGCAGAGAAGGGGAGACCTATGGTGGAGTGGGTGTTGACCTGGTGAGGAGGGAAGAGGGACGGAAGCCTTCCGGGTGTAAAGACTGTGAGGTCAGAGGGCTTGAGAATTGACATTCAAAAGTGCAGAGCAGAACCAGGCGGTCGTGGAGCACACCTTTAGTCCCAGCTCTCAGGAAGTAGAGGCAGGCAGATCTCTGTGAGTTCAAGGCCATCCTGGTCTACAGAGCGAGTTCCAGGACAGCCAGGGCTGTTATACAGAGAAACCCTGTCTTAGAAAACAAAAACAAACAAACAAATAAAAAAACAACAAAAAGTTTGGAGCAGGGCCTTGAGGGGTGGCTAAAAGGTAGAGACACCCATAGGGCTAGACAGGTCCTTGTATGCCTGAGTCCGGTTTGGGACTTTGTCCAGAAACAAAGGAAATGGTCATGGACTGTTTGTTGGAATCTCTGGTCAGATAAGAGAAGTGCAGGCAGATGGTGGGGGTGTGTGTGTGGGGGGGAGGGCTAGCAGTGGCACAAGAGAGGAAGGGAGTATGTAGCAGAGGGGGGGGGGGGGGGGAGGAGGGAGATAGG